GATGAGGCTGTCGATAGCGCCCGCCTGCTTTGCTCTGGAGACAGAGTGAGAAATTCCACAGTGCACAGCTCCAGAGAGCAGCCAAGGGGCACTGGCAGTTGATTTGTTCTCCCCAGTCCCTTCTGCATTTGAATTTTAATATCTTTGCCCTCCCCTGCTGCTCCACCACAAGCATTCCAGCAGCATCCCATAAGGTGACACTTCCACAGTCCCCTCCTGGGCTGCTCTTCCTCCAGACCTGGCATCTTCCTTCATTTTAAATGGAAAAATAAAGCACCCTCTGAACACCTGAAGCAATAAAGATTATGGAGGAAATGGAGAAGAGCATTACAGCAGCCTGAGGAGCAAATGTGGTGATGAATGTGCAGCTCAGGGTGAAATCTGAGAGCAACTTTGTATACGAGGTAATTTTCCTGCAGGATTTTCAAGGGGAAACATGAAAATAAATGGTAACATCTTCCTAATGGCTGTGAACACTTCTACATAGAGATGAGGACTCAGAGCTAACTAAGAAACCCTAGCTCTCTTTGTTTTAGCTTTTTAATTTACAGAGCAGCTCTCCAAAGTGATTGAAACAACCTCTCTCAAAGACAGAGCTGCAAGGAAGTGTTAAATTACAGGTAATCCAGAGGGAATCCAGTGCCAAAGAGGCTTCCTGCTCCAGAGGAGGGAAAGATGCAGAGACACAGAAAAGAAAAACCTCATTTCTGCAGCACAGACTTTCAATGGCATTGCAGCAAGCGCTGCACATTGTCACCCCTTGGACCACAAGGTGTGAAATACCCTCAGGTGTGAAATACCCTCCCTAAAATGTGCCTGGCCACCTCCTGCAGCACATGGATTCTTCACCAAACAGCCACGGATTGTCTCAGGCATCCGTACTTTGCTGCTTTATTCCAGAAACAGAAGGGAGAAGAGAGTTTTCTGGTACTTCAGGGGACAAATTAAGGCAGTAATTTGCTTGCAGAATTAAAATATGCAAATGCACACTCTGTTGGGCACCGACAGCAAGGTTTGCCTCATCCCTCGCTCACAGCTGCCCAGCAGCAGCCCCTGGAGATGCTCAGCACTGCAGAGTGAGCTGGGCTCCTTAATTTGGGAGCCAAATCAATACCCCAAGGCTCAGCTCTGTCCTGGGGTGAACCCTGGAGAGGAGGGCAGGACCTGGCACTTTCAGCAGCATGGGAAGGAGAGCCAGGGTGCATCAGACACATCAGACAAAGGCAGAGACACAGTTGCATGAAGCACATGTAATAAAGGCAGTATTTGCTGTATGTCAGGCTGGAAGCACAAAGTGCTGCAAACACTCTGATCCTTTTGTCATTTTTTCCACTACGCTTGCCCTTGGAAATAATATCACTTAATACTGCGTGACTGACATAAAATCATTTTTTTATTCCTGGCAAAGTAGCACAGGAGAAAAGTTATTGGTTGGTGATTTGGAGAAGGAGATGAGACAGCGATTGGAACTGACTATTCCTGTTTGGCAAGATAAAAACGTCCCCCTTTCATAGGCTGCTTCCCTCTATTTTCTTACAGAGAAATGTCTTATTTTGCATGCACAGAGAGCCAAGATTCCAGTCCCTGGCACAAGGGCTGCAGAGCTCACTTGACTGCGCTAGTGAGGCAGTGGATCAATTCCCTTTCTCTCCAGGCTCTCTCAGGAAGGATAAGGGCACTGCTGACCAAAACAAACCCAGACAGAGCCCTGGCACCCACCAAGGGTCCTCAGCACCCATGGGTACCCAGGGTGGCCACCCCAGGGCTCCTGGAAAAGGATTTGCAGAAAATTCAGTCTTCTGAAGTTGAAATCTACCCCATGAAAATAATCAGTTTTTAGCTATACAGCACTTTCTAAAAGTAAGAAGAAAAAAAAGAAAGGTGTGAAAATTGTGACCAGCTACAAGAAACAGTGAATTTTACACTCCTGCTATTAACTAATGGCCTGCATAAGGGCTGGCAGTCTCAGGCAGGATGGAGCCCCAAACTCCACCTCCCTGGAGAACCTCAGGGCAGGTTTCCAGCCTCTCACACGCCTGTAGGGCTCTTGGACCAGGGTGCCAGAAGGTTACCACGAGAATGAGACACACACTTGGGAGTGGTGACCAGAACAGCTGCTCCAAAGGGACACTGAGAGCAGCAAAGTGTAATACAGCCACAGGGCAGAGGCACTCCCAGCCTCTGGGCCACCAGAGGGGTCCTAAATAGTCTTTACAGCTGTTCTAGATTGCAAGGCAAGATGTATTTACTACCATCTGGACGGCAGTTGTCTTTTGTCAAGTGGGCAGTTTTCCTTCTCTCTCTCTGAGTGATCACAACCACTCCTCCCTCTGGGGAGACATCTGCTGATAAGAGGCCACTGAATGTCACTGCATGGCTGATAAGAACTCCAGCATCCCATTGGGGAGATGTGAGCCCTGAGGGAGGAGCCAAGCATTCCTGCCTGGATATAATCTGGAGATTCTGGAACACCAGACAAGCATTCCTACCCGGATATAATCTGGGGATTGTGGAACACCAGCCAAGCATTCCTGCCTGGATATAATCTGGGGATTCTGGAACACCAGACAAGCATTCCTACCCGGATATAATCTGGGGATTCTGGAACACCAGCCAAGCATTCCTGCCTGGATATAATCTGGGGATTCTGGAACACCAGCCAAGCATTCCTACCCGGATATAATCTGGGGATTCTGGAACACCAGCCAAGCATTCCTACCCGGATATAATCTGGGGATTCTGGAACACCAGCCAAGCATTCCTACCTGGATATAATCTGGAGATTCTGGAACACCAGCCAAGCATTCCTACCTGGATATAATCTGGAGATTCTGGAACACCAGCCAAGCATTCCTGCCCAGATATAATCTGGAGATTCTGGAACACCAGCACGGCTTCTCCACTGGATTCCCCAGAGGAGCAGCAGCTGCCTCTGCCCCTGGATCTTCAGAGGAAGACTCCACCCTTGTCCAGGACCCCTGCTCCAGCAGAACCACCCCTGACACTGCAGGAGGGCTGAGCCACAATTCCAATGGGACTGCTGCCAACACCCTGACCCACAGGGTGTAAGGTTGGGTTCTGACTCTGTCAGTGTTGGTTTAGTTCACTGCATTGTTTATTTTATGCTTTTCTTCCCTATTAAAGAACTTTTATTTCCTGTTCCCATAATTTTTGTTGCCTGAGAACCCCATAATTTCAAATTTATAGCAATTTGGAGAGGGGAAGGGGGTTCATTTTCTCCATTTCAGGGGAGGCTCCTGCCTTCCTCAGCAGACTCCTGTCTTTCCAAACCAAGACACCACCTCACTCACTCCAAGCCTCCTCCTCTCTGTGTTATGTAACCCAGCAGCAAGGTTTGGGAATGACATTATTGTGCCCAACATCTCAGCGTCTGCTGGGATTTCACAGCGGATGACAAACGAGCACAACACCTCGCACTAAAATATACAACAGAAAACAGTGTTGTTTTCCACATTTCAAAAACATCTGCTATGAATTAATGATTCAGCTCATACCTACAGTGACAGGCGCAGAGGAGACGAGATTGGCTGAGCACCCTGAGGCTCACCAGGAGCTGCTCCTGCCTCCTGCAGGCAAAATTTGGCATCCACACTGCCCAGTATCAGATCTGGAAGGTGTCCCTAAAACTGCAGCCTTCAACTTCACAGCGTTGCCAGGGATCTCTGCTGCACACAGAGGGCAGCCAGAGGAGCAGTTACAGAAGAGCTCCTAAGAAATTCACCAAAACAGACATGTAAAGTGCCCTACAAGCACACGTACATTCTTGTTCCCATTGTTAATTAATGCAGCACAGCATCCTCAGATCATGTACATTAAGCTTCCTGCACATTCTCTGCTGGCCACACAACTGTCTCCCTCGTATATTAACTGAAAAACACTTGAATCAAGCCTGGGGTAACTTCATCTTCCAGGTCCCTGTGCACAAACTCTGCATCTGTTGGAACTCTGCAGACACTGGGAGTCTCCACATAACCAAAAACAGAAGCAAAGCACTCCCCTGAGTGCAGAAATCCCTCATCCCATAGCTCATCACAGAGAATCACAGAACCATTTACATTGGAGAAGACCTCCATGACCACCAAAATCAAACCAAATTATTCCATATTATCCAAATATCTGTATTATCTCTATTTTATATATCATGAATATACAGAGTTAATATAGTTTATTCTCCATGTACAAACTATATATTATGAATACACAGAGTTAATGTAGTTTATTCTCCATATACAAACTATGTTTTATAGATAATGCAGACATGCATCACTTCTGGAGCCCTCCAGGACAGGCTGGAGCACCTCACATGCTCCCAGGGGAGGACAATCCCTTGTGCACAGCCACCACACAGTGACCCTGCACCTCCTCTGCATTTGAACCTGAGAATCTCTGTTCAAAAGCGCCTCACCCCAACAGGATCTACACCCAAGCAGTGAGTTTCCTTCCCTGAAGGATTTTACAGCATCATATCCCTCCATAATTTCCTCCTTGTTTAATAGGAATGTATTTAAGTTTGTTTTGAAGATATGCAGTGCTGTTAATTGCTGTTCTAACATGTCTCTAATAATCCATCCTTTCTAATTATTCATTGCTCACTACCTCTTAAGTGCTTAAATACATTCACAAATTCTAATCTGTTCTCTGCACAATCAGTGATTCCTACTCACCAAACCACAGTGCAGCACATTTAATACAACCTGAGCTTGTTTTTGCTGCACTCTTAATTGCTCTCCTTGCTAACTGTGCTTCCTTCAGCCCTGATCAAATTGCAGGCTGACTTGGCAAAAAACAGAAGGAAAAAAAAGCCAGACATGCAGCAGACACCGCTGCAGTGACATCACTGACAGAGTAAGTGTAGAAACAGGAAAAACAGGGAAAAAACCATGAAAAACAGGGGAAAAAACCACGAAAAACAGTTCTTCAAATGCTGAGTCTTCCAAGCAGAACTGCAAGAGTGGAGTGAGAAACCAAGAACATCTTACCTCGTAATGGGCTACTCGCTGGGACTCGGAGATCAGCTGAGCACTGCACACCTTGCAGTAACTTTCAGTGAACAATTCTTGGTCGATGTCAGAGGATTTCATCTGTGCATGACAGAGAGGAGAGACAAGAAGCAGAATCAGTCACACAAAGCAGGCAGATGTGTCTGACAAGGCTCCTATAGAGCCAAGGGCAAGGCAACACTTGAGCCAAAGCAGTTCTTGTCACCATGAGGGAGTGAAACCAATGTTGTACAGGTGTAAATGTGACACACAGACCCTATCACAGTCATATTTTCTGGAAAAAAACCTTAGCCCAGGATTTTGCTCCTGGGAAGCTGAGAAGCCTCAGAGAAAAAGGAAAACAATTATTATCTGATTTGCTTCTCCTGTGTTTTGCTGCTTTGGAGTGTGGTTGGAGATTGTTTCATTGGTTTCATGTGAATTGTTTTGACTCATTGGCCAATCAAGCTCAAGCTGTGTCAAGGCTCTGGAAAAAGTCACGAGTTTTCATTATTATCTTCTTAGCCTTCTGTAAGTATCCTTTCTGTATGCTTTAGCTGCTCTTCATCACCTTTCCTGTCTAGGAGCACCAGGCACAGAACCAGCTCTGCCAGAGGTCCCTCATGGCACAAAACACGCTTGGCCATTTGTTATACAACAGTAAAAGAGCTTATAAAAGCTTTTATAGAGAAGGCAAACAGCAGCACAACCTGGAGGAAGGTGGTTTTAAGCTGGAAGAGCATTCTGTTGTAATTCTCGATTTAGATGTGGAAGAGAATTGTTTGGATGATTTACTGGGCTGTGCTGTTCCCCAGTAGCTGTTTAAATATTTATGTGCTCCCCAGAACTTTCTAGGAGGACACTTGCACCTTTAAAACCAGCTTGCAGAGTACTCTGATTCACAGGAACACATTGCTCCTCTGCTCATAACCTCCTCCTTGTGCCACTGCAGGTACACAGACCTGAACTCACAATCAAGGGGTGTACCAGGAAAATTCAGGCTTAAAGTCTGAACCCAAGCAGAACCAGAAGCAGCTACATAGAGAGAATATTTAAAACCAACCCCTATGCAAAGCAAGAGGGAAAAGAGAGGCTGGTGCCTTCTCATTAATGCCAAGATAAAATCTATTAATTCACAATCATAACAAACCCAGGCATAATGAAGACTGATAATACAGGTTTTATAGAGCTCATTCCACTGACTGGGAAGAAAAATAACATGGAAATGAAGAGGCAATGAGATCTCATTAGCAGACAAAGCCAGGTGCAGGAGGGCTGGTCACTGCTGGGCTGTGCAGTGCAGCTGGAGGTGCTGATGCCAACCTCAGTGTCCTGCCACCCCACAGTCATAGTTATTTATATTTTATGAAAACAAGCAGCTGAGCTGACACCAGAGACTGCCAGCCTGGAGAGACCAGCTGGCCCTGAGCTCCAGGAAAAGGTTTGCTCAGGTGTTCTGGTTTACCAGACAAAACCACTGAACTCAGAGCTCCTTTGCTGCTGTGCTCGTTCTTTGTTTGATTCTGCAAAGACATTTCCTTGTTTTCGCTTGCTATCTGCCTAGTTTTAATCCTCATTTACTCTGTCCAGAGAGATGTTGCATTGAGAAACTTTCAAAGACACCAAAAGACCCTTTTAGGAATACAAGTAGTGTTGCAAAATTGCATCAAAGGCAAAACAAAGTGGGAGGAAGAAATCTCACTTAACTCCAACAGATTGGCACAAAGCAAACCAAAGAATCTCATTAAACCTCAATCCAGCAACCAAGCCAGAGACAGGTAACAGCACCTTCATTTGCATGCAGCCTGCAATGCCAGTACAAACCCTCATTGCAAAAATCAGAGTAAATCAAAAGCTTCTCAGCATTAGTTCAGCATTCTGCGCTCTGATAACAGAGCCAAAGTCTATTTTTCTCAAATGGAATCCTCTGTCCTCCTTTATAGCAGCAAGGGCTGAACAGGCTTATCCAGGAGCTGCATCTCAGGCATTTTCTGTAAGCAGCAAGGTCTGACACAGGTGTGGGATGTGTTCCCCTCACATCACAGGTTCAGCACCAGGAGAACACGGTAGTTCTGCTGATGGTGTGACTGCTGTGCACCACCATTCATGTGTAAATATTCAAATTACCCAATAAAAGTCTCTCTGGAATGGGAGACCCTCACATAACACACCCAGAGCAGAGTTCCATGTGAGAGAAGCTCCCACTCTCCTGCATAACCCTTCTGTGGGTTAATCCAAGCAGTGATTTATTAACTTCTTCCGCCTGCAAGAGTGATAAAGGGAGTTCAGAAGCAATTAATATTTATGTATTTCTAATCACTTAATACCACTGTGACTCTCTCCCTGCCCACACATGCCTAACTGCACCAGGACTGACCAGCCCTCAGCTGATCCCACCTCACAGCCCATCTGTCAAAATGCAGCATGGAAAGGAGGGGTGTCCTTGCCACCAATATGTCCTCAGCTGTGAGGGACATTCAAGGGCTGAGCAGGGTGGGACATGTCCCTGAACACTCTCAGAGACTTTTCTTGCTGAGAATTGAAGAACTAAATGGGGTTCATAACTTTGGAACTGGGACACAGATGGTCATGCTGAGCAAAAGCATTTGAGGTATTAAAATCTGAAAATCCTAGCGCTCTCGTCCTCAGGTGGGGCCTCTCCCAGAACTCACAATGGCTTTGTGGGGTTTATTATGGCACTCCAGTGAAAAATCCCCTCCCTGCCCCAGATCCATGGCCCTGCACACGTCAGCTCAGCATCTCCAGGAACGGCTCAGAGTGTCACAGAGACCTCGTCTGCAGCACCTTGTGCCATATGCTTGCAACTCTCCTCAGCACTTTCAGTGACTGGAACAGCTCAATGAAAAAATCAATTTCACCAGACTGACGCCAGGTTTTGGCAATGTCCAGGAAGGTGCTAACTAAGGTGCACTATATTTTAGAGGATAGCAACTCAAAGCTGACTTCATGGACATGTGCAAAGCCAAATTCCTTTCTAAGGAAATGCTGTGCAGCAGCTGAATCCCTCCAGGTGAGGTCACATGCTAAATGTGTCCCTGTCACACAGGAGAGCGCTGGAAGTGCCCTGGAATTCCTGTACACATTCATTTCTTCTATTGCCCAACTGAGGACAAGGAGTGCCACAGAAAACACAGGGTTCAGCAACTTGGTTTTCTCCAGTCACGAGGAGAGAAGAAAAATATGATCTCTTACCTGATTTACTCTTGAAGGCCTACAATCACTTTTTCCAGAATTAACAGCCTCCAAAATCTCCACACCAGAGCACAAGAGAAGCAGCAACTGAGCATGTGCAGGAATGCCAAATGCAAACAACAAGCCAAAAATTAAATGTCCTGATTTTCATATTATGAATTATTTGTGGCTTTTGCTGCTGCCACTCTCCCATGGATTAACATCTCATGTAACACCTCCTGTTTTTGTCTGTTGTTTAATTTGTCTTGCAATAAAAAGAAAAAAAGCCTTTACTAATAATTAATGTGCTTTGAGCAACTCTGTCACTGCACTTACATCGAGGCATCTGAAGAAATGCAAAACTGCCTTTTGAAGTGCCTGATTTCCCAAGACAATGGCTGAGCCTGTTCCAGGAGTGCAGTTCTCCTCCTATTTTTATTGCCTGGAGACATTTTGGGTGCTGGAGGCCACAGCAGCCAGGAAAAGGGGCTGGGATGGGGCAGCCTGGGCCAATTCTGTGCTGCAGACAGGACAGGACAGGAGAGGCCATGCCATGGTGATGGCAGAGCTCTGCAGCCCACCTGAGCTGGTGCAAGAGCCCAAATTCACAGCCATGTACCAGCACCTGAATTTCCTTGCCATCCCTCCACAGTCCCAGAGGGGTGGAACAGGGCAATAACAGAGCCCAGATAATCCTGTGTCCCACAGGTCATGGCAGTGTGTCCCTACCCACAAAGAGCTCCCTACCAGCCACATCTCCAGAGGATGTGTGTGCTATTTTTAATTTTTCCCATTCTCCTGCCAAACCAAGATGTTCCACGTCCCTCCAGCTGTGCTGAGCATCTGCTGTCTCCACCACGCTTCACCTTCCCTGCAGTTCTTGTTTGGTTTGGGGTTTATCCCAACTCCCTCCACTCCCTAAATCCTCCACAGAGTCAATTTGCTTCACTTCTGCGCCGAGCCTTTGATGCATTTGGACACGCTTTATTGGAGCCCTGAAAATCAGAACAAGATTGTGTGTGGCACGAGCTGGGGAGCAGGAGAGATCCTGCACGTGGCTGCTGCATGTGGCAGCACAGAGAGGAGAGGTTGCGGAGAACAACAAGGGGGAGACACAGCCTCAGTGCACACCAGGCTCACCCCAAATACCTCATTCCACACGATTTTCCCCCATTGTAAGCAGGCAAGCTGCTCATTTGCTGGGTTTCCTGACAGAAGTGCCCAAAGGGGCCAGGCTGGACGAGCCTTGGAGAAACCTAAACTAGTGGAAGGTGTCCACACAGGGGAATTGGAACAAAGTGATTTTAAGGTCTTTTCTAACCCAAACCAATGTGGGATTCTGTGTTTGCCAGGACTAAGAAAAGTACAGTCACACAACAATGGACAGAGATGGTGTTTTTGAAAAGAGCCTCTCAGCTTTCATGCCACTGTGGGGGGGAAACTGCCATGGATGTCTCACTGAATTCCCAACACTCAGGAGCTCTGGGCTGGAGGGAAAGCTGCCAGATGTTCCCATCTCCTCACCTAACCATCAAGGTCCCATTTATATAAACTGAACCCAGCAAGGAAACAGCCTGAGGAGCACATGAGGAGAAAGAGGGCTGTGTGGCACAGGGAAGCCAGGGAAATACCCTACTACAAACTATGTGTGCTTTATTTACAATAATTTTCCTCCAGGTAGAACAGCAGCAGGGTCACATCCCCAGGTGTGCCTCTGCATCCTCCACCTGCACCACAGCACCCACTGATGGGGAGCAGAAGCAGGAGACTCCCTATTTGTGGCACTAAAATCCACCTGGTGACTTTTTGACCTGCCTGTTTGAAGGGGAACAAAAGGCAAGCAACAGAAATTACAGAAGCAGAGAGCAAAGGACTGCCAGATGTTCCCATCTCCTCACCTAGCCATCAAG